AAAGTTAGTCTAAAACCACCAATCAGTACATGTAGATGGTATATCTGAAATTGGGAGTGGGATACTTTGAACATAACCATAGTGTTGCAGACACCTCTCAGGCAAGTGTTTAGCAACCATGGCCTCCCACTGCATATAACCTAAATATAATGACGACTCCTCGAACTCAAAATGGACTATATGATCAATGTATGGTGTCTAGTTGACATCATCTACAATTAACGCATCGAGCCTCCTCCTGTACTCAGCAACACCATCGGGACATGGTCAAATGTTGGGAGGCTATGAATGACAACTTAAAGTTACAATTGAGTAATATTAGAGCTTCTTTTCAAAAGAGTTTTTATGAAGTTGAGCACGCCCACGTAAGTCCATTTTACAATAATTTACGTGGTTCAGTGTCTCGAGAAGCATTGAAACGCATTGCTGAAGAGTTAAAACGAGTTGATTATGTTGGAACTAACAAGGAAATATGTCGATGTACTCTTAGAACAACCTACAAATTACCTTGTGCTTGTGAGTTGACAGGATATAAAATTGATGGTTTACCGATACCAATAGATGTTGTACATGTTCATTGGAGAAAACTAAGTATGGAAGTTAAGTTGGACGAAGATGTAGATGATGGATCAGAGGTGGATATGAGTAGTGCAATAGATGAGTTATGGAAAAGGTTTAAGTCACTATATATTGTTGGGAAAAGGGCATTAAAAAGTAGGGTTTTTGAACTTGCCTTCCCTACAATGACTTTTATGTGTCCACCACCTGAGAAAATCAAAACTAAAGGGGGAGTCAAGAAGAAAGACAAAAAACTAGTAGGATATGATGTTTATAGAGACCCTTCGTATCACGAGTATGTTGATCAAGCATCTCAATCTTCACAGATGCAATCTCAACCATCACAATCTTCCAGCAGCAACATCTTGGATGATAGGATTTGCAGGACGTCTACAACATTGGCAACAACTTACGCCTATATTACCAACGCATTTTGAATTATAAATTATGTTACTCATTTTTAATTTTAAAACAAGAATCGTGAATTATGTTACTCGTTTTTAATTGCAAAACATAAATCGTGAATTATGTTACTCATTTTTAATTACAAAACATGAATCGTGAATTATGTTACTCGTTTTTAATTGTAAAACATGAATCGTGAATTATGTTACTCGTTTTTAATTACAAAACATGAATCGTGAATTATGTTACTCGTTTTTAATTGCAAAACATGAATCGTGAATTATATTAACACATAAACCAATTAGGTCAAATATGTCTAAAGGTTAACATATAATCATAAATATAAATAAAAGTCACTGTGATAGACCAAAATGTAAAGCTTCGAACAAATCAGCAAACTGTGGGTCATCCTCTTCAGCACCAGTCTGCTGAAGATAACAATGTATCAATGAAGACATACGAGCCACTATAGGATCAGATGGTCCTGCTTCATATACAGGAACTGGCATCTCTGTTGTCGCATCGACACTGAGCGGTACCAGACGAGGATGCGAAACACGATAATACCACTCAAGATACCCATCATCTATCTCATATGGGGTGGTGGCCGATGCTGTCGGACGAATCACATTCTGAATGCTCTGATGGTAACTAATCCAGTCAACATCATTATCACCCGCCGTTCGAGAATCAAGATGTGGATGTGGAACATACTGCCTGTATCCAAACTGACGCAAACATCTGTCAGGCATGTATGGAACAATAGTGTCACCCCACCTCAGACACCCCCTATAGAGGCATAACTCATCAAACTGACGCCATACTCTATGATTCTCGAATGGGCGCCATATGACATCAGCAGGTGTCAGCTCGTCCAGAATAAGCCGCAAGTCATCCACCTTCAAGGCACCTTGTCTATAGGACCATCTCATCGCTCGTGGGAGACCCACATTATTAGCTGGTATCCAGTTCTCTCCTCTTTTTCCAAGTGTGGGAAAATACTCATGAATCCAACACTGTTACAAAACTTAAAATATTTAATTATAACATAATAAACTAGATAAATAAAATTAATATACTAGATAAAATTAATTAACACAAAATATACTAAATTAAAATAAATACCTGTAGGAGAGTCGGATAACCACCAAGCTGCTTACAGCTGAACATGGAAGCATCTCCGAGATATCGGTAAAGAGTAACCAACGCAGCTGCTGCCCAATTGTATCCTGATAAGCCATCCAAGTCTATAAACAGTGAGAGGTATCGTGTCTCGACAAGCGTAAACGTCTTGTCCGCAAAAATAGTGGAACCCACTAACATCAACAAATAAGCTCTAGTGGCATAATCCCATAGAGATGCAGCTCTGTGCTCTACGAACCGATCATATAACCACTCCAGCTTATAGTAGGAACCCCTGCACTCACGGACTTGTTGTTGTGTTATTCTCTGTGACACTCCCAAATAATCAACAGCCCACTCAACAGCAAACGCTTCACTGATATCTGGAGGGTTCCAGAAAACTCCCCTGATGGGCAAGTGAAGCAGGCAAGATACGTCATCTAGAGTAATCGTCATCTCACCAAACGGCATGTGAAATAAAGATGTCTTTAGATGCCACCTCTCTGCAAAAGCGGAAACTAGGTTTGTGTCTATCTTTGTTAAACTGGTTCTCTGAAGTGAAGCTAGATCAGACCTAGATATCCAGCTCTCCATCTCTCTAGGCAACTGTAGTGGAACCCTCTGAGTCAACTTTATCCCATGTCCCGCCACCTTTAACTCTTTCTTCGACCCTCTTTCCTAAAAAAAATTAAAAGTAAAAATATTTTAAAATTCAATATTAAAAATTCGAATTCTATTCAATATTAAATAATTTTCGTTTACTTACCTCACCAAACCATATACGGTATGCAACATGCTGTTCGTATTTAACTAACAGAGACGTATCATACGGTCCTCCGGGATATCCAACCGGCTCGGATGCTGATGCTGATGCAGATGCATCAAAATGCTCTTCTTCAGCCATCCTCGATGACTCGCCCCGTCCTAGTCCACGAGGGATCCTACCATCTCTGCCTCTTGTGCGCACCACTGAAAAAAAAATTCAATATAATTAAAAATTAAAAAATAAATATAATTAGAAAACAAAAATAACAAAAATTAAAAAATAAAAAAGCAATGAACCGGAAGTCTTTCTTTGAAGACTTCCGGAGTTGAAACGCAACATTGAGTGTACCGGATGTCTTTAAGAAAGACTTCCGGTGTGTAAACTAAAATATTTTCTGAACCGGAAGTCTTTAAAAAAGAGTTCCGGTGACCAACCTCAAAATTTTGTGAACCGGAAGTCTTAATGAAAGAGTTCCGGTGAAGAAGCAAAAACAAAATACAAACCGGAAGACTTACTCTTAGTGTTCCGGTATGTATTGCAACTGAAATGTGTTCCGAAAGTGTTTGTGTGAGAGTTCCGGTTTGTAGCAAAATTTGAGAGTTCCGGAAGTCTCAAAATGGAAGTGAAAAATGAAAAAATGTAAGATTATAGATTTACTAAGGGTATTTTGGTCCAAATTTTTTGAGTGTAGGGGTGTGGGTATAAGGGTAGGGGTATGAGGTAAAACTTCCTCTTTATCTATAGGTATAGATAAGTATAGATTAACGTTTACGTCACATGGTAGAAAATTATACAATTTAAAAATTGATATATTATTTATATTTTAAAAGTTTTACGTCACAGGTAAAATTGAAACAATAATAGATAAAGATTTAAGAGAGGAAACCAAAATTTAAAAAATTTAATAAAAATAGTCATTGTTATTTGATCTAGAAATTAGAACACACTTTTTTTCTTTCGTAAGAGATAATGATTCATTTTTCTTCTACAATAGAGAGAAAAATTAAAGTATTATACATTAAAAAAATTCAATAATCTCAATTTTCAAACCCCAAATTCACATATGGATTTGTTTACGTAAAAAGAACAAAATAGTAAATGAAAATAAATAAAAAACCTAATCAAAAAATTAGATTGAAGAATCTAAATGCCCTAATAATTAACTGTAACAGAAATCATGGTGTGATTCACAATCCATATTATGACATCTGCAAATTGTAGATTTCACTTTTCTACCACCATCATGAACATTGTCTGGATTCCAATTTTACTCATACAGTCTTTCTTCTTCTCTATTTTTTACTTCTATGGACCCAATGAGTTAGAAATGAATGACATAACTTATAAGGAAAAGTTATTTAAATATAGTTTTTAATTAGAAGTTAAAGTGATTTTTTTTTCAAATAAACAATTACTTTATACAATATTAAAATATAAAATGGAAGGAATAGTTAATTTTTATTTGTGTAACTTCTAAGTAGTTTTAAAGGGTAAAAGAGAAAAGAAAATAGACTAAAAAAAACAATGTATTGCCTTTATATATTGTTATAGATTATATATATATATATATATATATATATATATATATATATTTTAAATTATTAAAAAATTTGATAAAAAAAGACTAAAACTGCAATTATATTATAAATATATAAATAAATATAAATATAATTTTAAATATAAACAAATAGTATTAAAAAAGTTATTTTTTAATTATTGTTGCGTAAAACAAAAATATATTTTAGCTAATTTTCTTTTTAATAAAATAAATCTGCTTTCGCGGAGTGACACAAGTAAAAATTGTAGGAAAAAGACAAAAAAAATGAAATGAAAGGAAAACATTAGCGAGCATAGTTTCTCTGGGACCTAACCATAAAGGGCAAAAACCGAAAGCACCAAAGCTATAACGAGAAGAGGGCTTTGGGGTTATTAGCGAACTCAGTGAGAGTGGCGTCGCCGTCGTAACGGCCTACCCAAACAAGCAATCGACCGAGCTAGCAAGTGTCCGTCGTATACATCAGCACTCTGTAGTAACGAGAAGTGAGAAACTCAAATCCTTTCGCATTTCTCACTGTAAAAACTAGCAGCGATTAGCACAAAAAGTGTGAAGAGCGACGAAGAAGAAGAGAATATTCTAGAGAAGAGAAAGATGAGTACATGGAACTATGTGGTTACTGCTCACAAACCTACCAACGTTACTCACTCCTGCGTCGGCAATTTCACCAGTCCTCAAGACCTTAATCTCATAGTCGCGTATTTACTCTTTCGTTTTTCTTAGGGTTCTTTCTCAATTTCAGTATTTGTTTTCAATTTGTTGATTCATTTCTCTTTTTGTTCTGTTTTTCATCCAGGAAATGCACTCGCATCGAGATTCACTTGCTTACTGCTCATGGCTTGCAGGTATACACAATCAGTTTTCTCTTTTGAATCTATTTTTACTAGAAGGTCGATTTCAATGGTTTGATTTTGAACTCAATGGTTCGATTTTGAACTCAATGGTTCGATTTTGAACTCAATAGTTCCATTTTGAATTCAATCGTTAACTCAATCGTCCGATTTGAACTCAATCGTCCGATTTTGAACTCAATCGTTCTTTTGAATTCGTTAGTTCGATTTTGAACTCAATCATTTTGTTGGAACATGTTTTTACTTTTCATGTGTTAAATTTTGGCTGATTATGTGATAGAATGAAATTTTCTCTTTGCAGTCTGTCTTAGATGTGCCATTATATGGAAGAATTGCTACGCTTGAGCTATTTCGCCCTCATGTGAGAATAAAACATCTTTATTTCTTGGATGCTATATAATATTTAGTTTTGTTCGCATATACTAAAATGTTTGTGGATTAATTATTCCTATTTGTCTTGGGGCTCAAACAGGGTGAAGCACAGGATTTTCTGTTTATTGCTACTGAAAGATACAAATTCTGTGTTCTTCAATGGGATACCGAGACTTCTGAGCTTGTTACACGGTATGCACAAGAAGACACATTCTTTCATTTAGAGCAGTCTTATGTTTATGATTTATTTTGTCCAGATTGATTTTATAGTTTCTTTTCAAAATATGTTCAGCAACTGTTGATGTAGTTTAGTAGGGCTGAACCAGCAATCAACTGTGGCTAATAATAATACCATTTGGCTGCACTAACATTTGCACCGTGAATTTAGCGATTTACTAGTTCACTAAGTTAATTAGTTTAGAATGGAGAAGTTCACAGTTCATTTGCTGTCTAACAAACGAGTTCATAACTTCAAATCCGTGTTTTTATTTACAAAGATTGAATTGCTTATTTCCAATTAACTAGTTAAGAAGTTATCAGAGCAATGTTTCTAGGTGTCACCATTGGCTAAAAGCTTGAGGAGAAAGTAGTATTCCCAATGGGTGCAATGCTCGGTCCAATTCTTTGGTTTATCTGTTTCTTAAACCCACTCTTCCTTCTCTCGGACTAGGAAAAAAGCTGATAGATTTTGTATCCCCTCTTTCTAAGGATATAGATCTCTTTGAAGAAGAAAAATAGCATTCCTTCAGTATTTTGAAGGTTAAATATGTTTTAAGTCCTTATAAAATTCACGATTTTTTAAGTTTTGTCCTCAGATACACTTTTTTCTACAATTCTAGTCCCTATTTTTCTTTTATTGGGACTAAAAACACTATTTTTGTAATTTTGTTTTTTAAATAGGATCGAAATTAGACACAGTTTATGTAGAGGAGTAAACGTCTAAAGGTGTAATTTTGAAGACATGTAATTCATATTTTGATCGATTTCCAGTTTTGTTGGGTAAGTTGCAAACATCTAACTCCAGATTCACTCATGCACTTGGACATCCTCTTTTACTTTCTTTATAATGGAATTAGTGAGTAATGGTTTTTTGGTTTCAAGGACAGCGAGCTGAGTGTTCAAGCTGGGACTTTTAGTTAAGAATGAAGATTAAAACCTTTCTAAACAAAATCTCTATTTAGGTCATGTCTTAGTCATCTGAGGCCAAGGGCTTTCCTAAAGTTAGAAGCTGGGAATCACAACTCATTAAGATTGGAATCCCCAATTTGTAGTTTGGTGTGCCTTTCTAAATTATAATTGTTTTTTGTTTGTTACAAACTAACAACGAAGAATCAAATAATAAAATAGGAGGAGGGAACTGGAAAGGGCAAGAACAAACAAGTTTCCTGTTGAAAATTGAAAGCTGAATAGAGGAATGTATAATGAAATTCTTCCAAAGGTTATTGCTCATCAAAAGATCTCTTCTTTCATACACAAGCGGTAGATTTGCATAATTTATCCCAAAACTCTGGTATCTTTCTATTTAACTAATCCCTTTTAAGTTCTATCTTCTAACTAACCAACAAAATAACTGCTGTCTCTATTCTGTCCTAATTGCCCATCCTGAGAATACCGCACCCACTTGTACTAGAAAATCCACCTTGCCCTCGAGAATTCTTCCTCCTCAGAAATGTTGACACTTTCCTCATCCTTAGACGCATGTTCATCTTCTATCAAGATTATGACAATCTTTTTTTCTTCTTCTAGGAATTTGTGCATGGGAAAAAAATGGTTAGCCACTCCATTAAGATCATTGTTCATTTCGTGCAATGACATACTACTGATTATGAAGAGGCTGTTGAGCCCATCTGTTTCTCAATGGATAGTGTTGTTATGATTTGGATGTTGCCCCTGGACGCCCATAGTTGCGTTAAGGGACCTGATTGATAGGTGAGACCACTTGACTAATGCTTCCTTGTTGGAATGCTGAACTCAAAAATCCAGTTTGTTTGTGTTGGAGTTGCTCATATCACTCGAGCTTCTTCCTCTGAATCATTGTGTTTGGCAACAGCTAGGCCTTTTCATGTCAATACCAGGTCATTTTCATTGTGACAACCTTAAAGGATCTTGGAATTCATGTAACAGGGTAGTTATTTATCACCCCTGCTCTTGTCGTTTGGGCCATTGGAATCTTTGTCCACGGCGTCCGATTTATGCTTAGGTGTAGGGACCCCACCACACACTTGTTTCTCATACTTGTCATCACCAATTTGCCACCACACGGATCTTCTTCGTGTCATCCTGGCTGATTTCAGCGAGCTGATATCCTTGTTCACTCCTATTCATTCTGATCTTAAAAATTTCGCTAAGTCAGACTAACCTTGTTTTGAATCAACAATGAGTAATTGAAGAATATAATGGAAGATAGAAAAAACAAGGATGAATGTTTCATTGAAGATTAAAGTTTAAAACTGAAAGGAAAAGGTCTTTTGAAGGATTTTCTCTTCTCAAAGGATTTCCTCCTTTAACTAAAAAGCTATCGAGTTACATATTGAATCTCTATTATGTTTCAGTTTTTCCTTTATTTATCTAATTGATTTCTTTTAACAGACTAATCTAACTATCTTACTTATAGACTTTCTGCTGTTCTTTTTCCTTCTGAACAATGCATCTGAACAGTGTATTTGTAAATCAAAATCCATAGTAAGACGTTTCTGATTGTACTATCTAACTATAGATCGCCGCCCTTAAAGATTGACTAGTTTGTTAAATCTAATACCTTAATGATTAATTTGTTTGATGGATTCTCTGTTCCATTGTCGTACAGATCAATGGGGGATGTTTCTGATCGTATAGGACGACCAACAGATAACGGTCAGGTATTAAATTTATTACACTTCTAATAAATATTGAACGGTAATTTGTTCACCCAGTTCTATTTTTAAGAACATCAATACTTGATGTCTAGGATTAGATGAAAATTGTTTTGTTCATTTAAGCATTTATCCCTTTTTTCTCTATGCAGATTGGCATCATAGATCCTGATTGTAGGTTGATTGGACTCCACTTGTATGACGGTTTGTTTAAAGTGTGTGACTTATTCTTATTCTTTATCTTTTATACTAGGTTTTCATTTCATGACTTGAATAATTAACTGTTCTTTGATCTTCCAGGTTATTCCATTTGACAATAAAGGCCAGCTCAAGGAAGCTTTTAATATCAGGTAATCATATTATATTATTCTTTTGATTGTCTACACAGTATGTTAATTTCAATCTGTTCTTCATTAAGTATGCATAAATGATATAACTATTATTCAATTACCTTGATTAATGATTGTTACCACAGTCCTAACTGTGCAAGCATGTCCTTTCAACAATTCATTTTTTTATTTCAGTTTCTCTGGCTTCATAGCAGCAACAAATAACCACTCTTTTTAACACTTACCACTGTAAATTGTTTTAAAACTTGGGAAATTTACAGATTTTATTACCTAGTATTTTCCCTCTGTTTTTGATATAATTTTATTAAAAATATGATTTGTGTTTTCAGGCTTGAGGAGCTACAAGTTTTGGATATCAAATTTCTGTATGGTTGTCCAAAGCCCACTATTGTAGTTCTTTACCAGGTTTTTAACTCTATTTTACCTTTTTTTTTTTGGGCGTATTAGTTCCTAACACGGGGATAGGGCTAAGATTATGGCTATAGACTAGCTCCTTACAAGATGAACAAATGAAAACTGTAAATACCCTTCCTGGAATAACCAACTTCATCCCTTGGCCAAGCACTAAACAGTGTTGTGGCAATGGCAGCCAGCTGTAAATCCGCCAAATAAACATGTCATTGTGGCTATAAAGTGTGGCGGCCTATGGTGGCTAGCACAAAGTTTACTGGCGTAAAAAAATCCCTTAACAATTTTAGGGATCCCCTCCCCATGCACGATTCTTGCATCTCTCTCTCTCTCTCTCTCTCTCTCTCTCTCTCTCTCTCTCTCTCTCTCTCTCTCTCTCTCTCTCT